TCTTAAAAAATCGCGACCGAGCACCAAGGTACACGCGGCGTCAAGTAAAGAAGAAAACATACGACTATTAGATCCAGAAAGACCAGGACCCAAGGCTACTCTTACCTGTACATTCCAGCACACTTCTCTTTCCACCTGGGGAACCGCTGCTGCTGTTAACATCGGGCAATGAACTTTGGGGTGCCCCGCTTTTCCGCATTTGAAGCATGCCCCCATTGGTCGCTTCTCCTGCTTGCAACTCGTTGCGTAATGGTCTAGCTTCTGGCAATTATAGCAACGAACGCCATCATACACTTGCTCCGCTTTAATTATTTTATCTTGCCTCAGGCTCCGCTCATCCACCATTTTTTCATATTGTGGTATTAAGTTCTTGAACTCCTTCATTGTAGTCGCACCGTTTGCTTGCTTGCAGCTGTGGTGTATGTGTGTGTGTTGGTTGCACTTCCAATATCTCCTCTTGTTGTTGTAACTGCCTTTGTGGTGGCGACGCTTCGCTTGGCGACACCGAGCTTGCTCCTACTATTTGCCGTAACAATTCACGCAACTGGGATGGAGTTGCACTTTCCGGAAAATCCACTCCGGCTTCTCTTAACAGCTCCATCAATGTTTCACGCACCATTTCGGTATATTTTCCTTTTCTTTTTTCAGAAAATTTCAAATTTTTTGTTCTTTTTTTGTTACTATTTTTTCTTCAGTTTTCCTCAGATTCTTCAGTTTTTCTTTTTAAGTTTTCTTTTAAATTTAATTTAACTTTTCTTTCTCTTTAAGTTTAGTTAAACACAAATTAATTTTTCACTTTGTCCTTTCCACACCTGATTTGTACACGTTGTATTACTTTCGTCGTCACAATCGGAATGACGCTTTTTTATTTCTCATCTTATCTTTGTACATCGTCTTATCTTTTATAAGTGATCTTATCTTATGTATCTTTGTAATCTATTACAGTAAGTATGCAACTCTGTGTTAATAAATGGACTAATAGGTGTGTTCTAATACATTCTACTACAGTTGTAATATTTGACAATAATGACAATCGAAATAACTGTATTACAATATATTTATATATATGTGCCTCGAGTCGGTAACCTTTTTAAATATTTATTATAAAAACGTTTAAATGCATACGCATACACACCCATTTTTTTAAAGTGCATTGTTGAGTTTAATTAAGAATACCATTATAATATGATAATACATATTTTTTACAGAATGGAATTAAAAAATGATGAAAGAACAACAAGCAAATGTTAGTTTTAACATAGCCGCAAACTAAAAAAAATATTAGTCAATCTGTTAATAAAATATAAAAAAGTAAAAAAAAAAATAAAAAAATCCTGCCATAAACCAAAAAAAAGTCTATATTACATATTTCGAATGTGAAAAAAGTATTTATTTTGAGTATACTGTATACATTGTAGAATTATTTAAAGCAAATGTTATTATTTTTATAAAATAGACTTAAAAACTGTGTAAATTCATCTTCAAAAAAGAAAAAAAATGAAAACCATTTATGGAGAACAATAAATCATTATTTAAAAAAACCTTTGAAGATGAATACAAAAATATGTGTAATTTTCCAGAGATTAAGTTTCCTTTTTGTAAGTTCAACTTATTCTTAAAAATTAAAACAAAAACATTGTAATGTATGTAATGCTTCCCCCCGTCCCCCAAAATAATTATTCTCAATTCATAACATCACAATGTTGCCGGGCTCTTCCATTGGGAAAGCATTACAATACATATTTACGCAATATATATATAAAATGTATGTGCGCCTGTCCCACCTTCTGTGAAGGTTCTGAATTATTGCTTAAAATTAAAAAACAGAACAAAATTTTGTAAAAAAGATGTGCATCATATTTGTTTAGCCTTTTATCCGGTTATTACATCAGCCTCCTAAAACTTTTGGAAATTTATTATTTTTTTGTCCCTGATTATAAATTCTTGTAAATGAATCTTATTTTTGCACATCTTTTATTTTTTTCTCTTTTTTTTGTCATATAAAATATTTAACCAGTTTAAAATTTATTATTGTTAAAATTAAAAAAAAAAAAAAACTAAATACTTTAATATTTCCATTTTGGTCATAATTATGTTAAATCGTTTTGTAAAATCTTATTAATATAGCCTAAATCATTTGTTCTTTATTTCCATTATCTCCCCCATCCATTATATGTAACTTCCCTAGATCAGTTTTTTTTTTTCAAAAATATTTGTAACACACATTTCTCAAAACTTTTTTTTTGCAACCAAATGGAAATGTAAATTCCCCATAAGTAAGTAAATAACCATTTCTCAATGTGAACAAATAATAAAGCGATACAGCCCGGGGAAAATTTGTTTGTTTTTATTGGCCTAGCATAATTGCATGCAAAAAGTACTAAATATGGTAAGTTTGTTATTTGGGCGAATGAATAAAGCAAAAGCTCTAAAAATTGGTATTAGATCATTGTTGGTGTGTATTGGTGTGGAGGGGTGTTCTAAGTTTAGGAGACCAGGGGGGCTTACTCTTGGTTAGGTGAAAGCCAAAAAAATTACAGTTGCAGACTCAGCAACGTCAGTTCCAAACTTTAGTAGATTTTATGGTGCAACACAGCGCTTTGGCAAAGGGACAGTTGCAGAGTTCAAATGCGAAACAATGCGCCAACAATTTGTAGACAAAACTGGATGATGACTTAGTTCAAATGGACCTCCTCCTGCAAGAGATGTCGCTGGTTTGAAAAAAAGTAATCAGCCTTATTCTGGATATTCGTTGGGAGATATCTCGCATGTAAAAAAATTTTCGCTTTCACATTCTCGCCTTATTCTGAATGAATAGGGAGATGCAAAACATGCGAGATCCGGATTCGAGTTTTCGAAAATGATGGTTGAGAAAAGATTCGTGTTGCCATATTGTAATGTGTGTTGCCACATTGTAATTTAAGTTGTAATGTGTGTTGCCATATTGTAATTTAAGTTGCATTGTGTGTTGTCCCATTGCAATTTAATTGTGTAATATTTTTCAATATTTTATTTATTGATTTTTTTATTAAAAATGTTTACCTTTTATTGTTATTTCAACTTTATAACCATACAAATGTGAAATATCAATAATCCGCTGTATAAATGCTTTGTAATTGAAAGAAAATAAATTAAAGTTTGAAAATATGGCAACCTAAAATATGGCATGTGAAACAGCTGTTCATTGTTTTGATGCAATTTGGTGAACTCTTTCCCTTCGACTTATTCTGAACAACATTTTCCTGTGATTTTTTCGCATTCTCGCTTTCGCCTTATTCTGAATGAAGTTCGAAAGCGAGAATGCGAAAAAAATCACAGGAAAATGTTGTTCAGAATAAGTCGAAGGGAAAGAGCGAGTAAATTCACGTGGAATTGACATCCAGAATAAGGCTGACTGTGAAATGTTGTTCAGAATAAGTCGAAGGGGAAAAACGTGTAAATTCACCTGGAATTAACATCCAGAATATGGCTGATATTCTCTAACAGTAATATTTTTTTGTTGACTCTAATTGGAAATAAAACCACATTATTGTTTATCTTCTTCTTTAAAGATTTATTGTTAACGTTTCTTTATTTAATTTGTTGAAATACATTTTATGCCTTTGATTACAAACGAAATATAGTTGTGTTGCTGCTGTAGCAGTTTTTTTTTTAATTTTTCAATTTAAATATATAATCACATGAACTTGATTTAAATAAATGGTTGTAGCAGTCTCGCCAGTAATAATCGCCAAACTAATAATGTGTGAGAGAACAAAAGAAGAATTGTTAAGAGTAGAAGAAAATAAAAAGAAATATGTGTAACCATAAAAAGAACCGATGGAATAATGATGTCAAAATCTTTATTTCACCATTCTTCTTGTATTGTTTTCCTTTATAGTTTTCCCAGAGTTTTTGTTTTTTTTTTGTATTACAGAAATATTAAAATTATAAAAGGAAATAGTAACAGAGACCCTGCTCATCAATCCATTGCATCACAAAGCCAGGTTGTTGTAGTTGTTTTACTTCTTTGTGGAACGTGAATAAAATAAAAACAAAACAAAAAATATTGAAAATACTTATTTTAAGTTTCCAAAACGATATTGTTGTTCTTTGTAGAAATACAAATTAAATTAAAGAAAAGAGTGGTACAGCAATGACCGATTAAAAGAAATGTGTTCCTATTCCAAAAGATGGATGCATATTTATCTGTACACAATACATTGCGCTTTCGAACATGACCACATTTGACATTGGACTAGATATTGTTAGTGTCCTCTGCGATAAATTTTGGATACAACATCGCGGTTAGTGCTCTTTCGATTGAGCTGATGTTGTCTCCCTCCGTTGGCCGCATATTCAAATTTACCAGGCATCAGGTGTTTGCTTGGAAAGGATTTCTTGGTCGGGCAGGGTCATTGAATGTACCTTCAATTGTCTCTTTGTTTTTGTGTTGTTGTAAACAAAACATGCAAACAGTATTATTGTTGTTGTTTTCTTAATTTTTGTATTATTTTCTTAGCAAAAAAGCACACAGGCACACTTTCGGTCCTTCTTGAAAGTCGGGCTAACTTCCACTTAACACTGCCAACAACAGTACAAATGTCCATTGGTATGCTCACCGAGAGTCTTGGATTTGTAGCATTGCATACAATCGCCAAGAATTGTCTTCGTATTCTTCAAAATATGATTAACTTCGTGCGGTTTCCGCTAGCGTCGTCATATTTGCTGTTGCTCCTCCGATGGGAACGGCAACAGCTGTGTTTCGGTGTCTAACACAATTTAGATGTTGTCTTTTGTTTCACTTTCACTTCGTTCATACTTTATTCCTGCTGTTGATGGTCATTGTAGTTCCTTCCCTCGGCATCATCGCCGTGTTGTGTTGCTGTTGTGGTCTTGTAGAAATGTGTAACCTTGTTTCTTGCTGTACCTCAATTGTTGTGGTTGCTCGGCTGGTTGGTGGTGTGTTTCCCTTCAAAAGTTATTCATTTTGAATGTTGTCGTTTAATTAGAGTTGTTGTTGTTCTTGTTCTTTTTGTTTGTTGTGATAGTTGTTGTTTTGTTTTCTAGGTTTCATCATCGTCGTCGTCATCTGTTGCTTTTAATATTTCTTGCTGCTGTCGTTGCTTCTACTGCACGTTATACGTGGCCGTAGATCACCAACCTGTCTTGCTGTCTATCAATAGGGCTGTGAGAATTGGCTCTGCGAATTAAGACCTAAATTTAAGCGATCATTGTTAAGAGCATCCTGCAAAGGAACAAAAAGAAGGTTGCAACGTTAGATGGAATTGCTGCTGCCAAATTAAAAGGCTGGTTCACTTACAGTTCCAAAACCGACATCTTGCGATAAGATACCATCCATTTGAGATATCTGACCAAAATCTTGTGAAAGTTCTGGTTGCTGTGACAAGCCAGTGAAGACACTTTGACTCATCTGCTGTGACATATTCTTCTGTGTCAATATAGCTGCTGAGTTCTGCGAAGATTGAGTGGAAGCAACAGCATTCGCCGCAGCCAGGGCATTTGTTGTAGCACTACCAGCGGCAGCACTTGTATTTCTACCCTTGCCGGGGGCTTTGCTTGAAATATTTTTGTTGGCATTCGAATTGCTGCCAATGGTCGAGCCCACAGCACCAACGCCGCTACTGCCACCAGTACGTCTACCCTGCTTAGCTGCAGCTTGTATAGCTTGTTGATGTTGATTGTAGAAGCGTGGCGGTATGTTGCTCATGTTCATAAACATACCGACGGGAACCGGCATGTTGTTCATGGCAGCTTGGGCTCTCTCCGTTGAGATGTACGATATCGAGTCGTGCTGGAAGTTATGCCATTGTTGATTGTTGGGACCATTGCTGAGACCAGTGTTTGCCAGTTGGTTGATGTTGTGGCGTTGAGAGCCGGGAGCACCAAAGCCACCACCAAGTCCTGCGCCACCTGCACCTCCCGCTTGCGGATTCATAAAACTGTTCAGGTGCGAGGCATTATTAAGTCCTCCCATATTTTGCATGTGCGAAGTATTGCCGAAGCCAAATGCCGAGTTGTTGCCACCAATTAAGTTGTTGCCGAAGTTGTAGCCGTAGTTCTGGGATCCGGTGGTACCGGTGTAACCAAATTGTCCCGAACGATCGTAGAAGGACCCCGGTATTATGGCTTCGCGAGCATCTGCCATCATCGTACTCATGAAGTGAGCTCCCATATTTAGGGTATTTACAAGTTTCTTGGGTTTCTGGAATTGAATCATGGACTCCCTCAAGTTGTTCAGGGATCCTTCAACCAACACTTTGCGATCCTTATAGAAATTCAATAGATGATTCCACAAAGGCTGCTTCGAAAGTATCTTCGGATTGCCAACAATGATGGTACCGTATTTGGATCGTGTTAAGGCCACATTCAGACGTCGTGGATCACTCAGGAAACCAATACCTTGCTTTTCATTTGATCTTACACATGACATAATGATGATGTCCTTCTCTCTACCCTGGAAGGCGTCCACACTAGCAATTTCAATTTCTTGATACAGTTTTGAGTGTAAACTGCCCTGGTACTGCATGTACTGCACTAAGTATGCCCGTTGACCTTCGTACGGTGTTATAATGCCGATCTGCTCCGGTTTGACACCGGCCTTCAGGAAGCGCGTGGTTATCTTTTCCACATTTGCTGCTTCAGTACGATTAAGATAGGACGTGCCTGAACCTGCAATTTCTTCCTGCCCCTGGGTCACCAAGAAGAACATTGGCCGATCTGGTTGTGGCCAAGGGAAATCAATTTTGAGTTTTCTATCTTCGGCACACACGCCATTCTGCAGTGAGCCTTCGTAAAAGAAGTTAGATGGGAATTGGGACAGCTCTGGGTGCATACGGTATTGAACTTCTAAACGGAATGGTCGTATGCCCAACACCACTAAACGTTCGAACAAACTCTGCGAGAGACCGGCACGAGCTGCCTTCTTGCACATGACCACCGGACCCAACTGGCAATGATCACCAACCAAAATTAGCTGCTTGGCACCCAGTACTACTGGCACCATGCACTCCGGCTCGGTGGACTGCATAGACTCATCAATCAGTATCGAAGTAAACTTAATTCGCTGGAGGCGAGCATCTCCAGCACCCACGCAAGTACAACAGATGACGTCTGCCGCTTCGAGCAGTTGGTTTTCGGCTGCTCTCTTCAGGGTTCTATAGCGTTTCTCATCGGCCGAGGACAGCTCACCCGTTTCGTCCTTCAATTGCTGCAGTTTTTTCAACTCGATGTTTGTTTCCATGTTTCGGATTTGGTTGTGTAGGGCCAAGAAATTTACAGGGCTGTCAATAGCTTCACGGGACTTGGCACATACTCGGACCACTTTCAAGTTGGTACGATGGATCTTCTCGGTCAGTTGATCGACGGCAGTATTACTGGGGGCACACACCAACACAGTACCACCATGTTGTTTCACCAGTTGGTACACAATGGTGGCTGAGGTTACAGTTTTACCCGTACCCGGAGGACCCTGTATAAGACTCAACGGTCTCTGCAGCGCATGCTTCACGGCATAGACTTGAGATCGATTTAGGTCGGGCAGGTTAGGTGCACTATACAGTTTGGGCGGGGGACCACGGAATACAACTTCATCGGAGCCATCGTGACGCCCATGCCCCAGCAAACGCGAATAGATGTAATTAGACACCGAATTACGATCGAGGGCAAATAATTTAAGGGCACGACGCATGCGATCAAACGAAGTGCATTTCCAAATAAAGTCCACTGCAAAATTCGACGTACATTGAATGGGCGCCTTGGCAGACGATTTTAGTTCAAGGCCAACATCTTCGCCGAAATTATCGGGCACTTTAATGACATGACCAATGGACTCCCATGGTTTGTGCAGCTCTCCCACGTACCGCAATCGCAATTCGTCTCCGTGCATTAGCTTCATGTCCGAATCCGTTTTGGCCAAGGTAAAGTAGGCAATGGTCTTTTTATTGAGACCCACATCCCAACGGACTTCAATACCCTCCTGGGTTTGGGACTCCTTCAGTTTCTTATCGTATTCGGCCTCTAACATAACCAAGGGGGCGAATATTTTCTCATATTGATAACCATCTTCGTAACGCAGCAAAACCTGCGATGGTTCTGTATCTATGCCAGGCTTTTCAAGATCCTGAAAAGTGGCCTCGATATTCTCCTTCCAAAGCTCTTCCAGTTTATTTATCTGGGCAGCTGATATTTGCCGCGCTCTCAGCTGTTCCTGCTCCGTTGGTACCTTTACCAACCACGGCAAAAACGAACGATCTGATATCAATGGTTTCCACTGATCCTGATCCCAGTTCATATCCTTTAGGGAATTCTGAGCTGCACATGGTTGACGGCAAAGTAACACCACCACCGAGTCTGCCTTTGCCGGTATAAAACCCAAAACAAATACGTTACGTACACCGCAGGAGTAACATTCCAATACAGTTTCACCCAATGGACCTTCCGAATGCAGAGTGACCTCACGATGCTTGGCTCTTACCAGATGGTTGACAATATGGGAACCAGATGTACTGCCACGACCATTACAAAACCATTTTTTACAATTGTTACACATTACCACCGTACCGGGATCGTGAATGCCACAATATTTGCATGCATGTTGCGGCAATACATCGACGGGGCACAAGGCGTTGTCTTCGTCCTCCTCTTCGAATTGTAGGTCGGCGGAGCCGTTAGTGGTGCCCAATTTGTTTTGCAAATCTAATTTGCGACCAAATGTCTGTTGAATATAAAGGTAAAGCATTTTAAATAAACTTCTTCAGTTGATGGAATTTCACAATTAAAAAAATATATGTACATATATACAATAAAGAATGTCTTATTGGATTTGATTTTTTTTTTACAAAATCAAAAAAGTAGTTATAGGGGCAAATACATGGTATAATAAAAGAATGTAACAGCAAGTGTTGTTGTACAACAAACGACACAACAACCACATGAAAATTTGTTTTTGTAAGTTATACTAGTGTCAACGACATTTGACAGAAAAATGTAAACAAACAAATAAATTATATTTATTTTGAATATGAAATATTTTCGAATCCTCAAAATAAAATTTGAAAAACATGAATGAAAATCTATAAAATTTATATTTCTATCGCTTCCACATCATTCCTATAATTGAACCATTGCCTCTTATATGTGTAACTCATATGAAAATGCTAGGAATTGCGAGTTATTCCATGAAGAAAGATTTGCTTCCTCAAACTTTCCCAGTAGGCAGATTGAGTAAATTGAATACGGGAGCACATTTAATAAAGAACAATTTCAAATTGAATGCGTTCCCAATTTTCCTGTTGGGTGATTTTTAAAAACATAACTTGTCAAATTCACATTGACACTAGTGTTACGTTGGAATCAAATCAGCTGGGACTTGCTGTTACCTTTTATAATTGTACCATGGGGCAAATATTTGAAATTTATATAATTCAAAATCAATACGAAAACCCAATATGATGATGTTTTCGATGTTATTACATTTCTTTTGTGCATAAAATGCAGACATGCATCCTAGCCTCCCTCTTAATATAATGGAATATACATTCCAGTACAGCTCGGAAAATAAAGTAATTTCTTGATGCTTTTGCAAAAAATCAGGTCTTTGCACTAATTATAACTAATACACCTGAATATAATTATATGCACCTGATTGCAGTATTATTAACAAAGTGTTGTATTTGCTGCTGATGTCCAATTCCACCACGGTGGCTACGTCATCAAGAACTCGAGAACATCAATAGTTGTTTTTATAGAGAAACCCCTTCATCCTTAACATGTGACTTTTTGGTGAAGCTTATGATCCGGATGGGTCTTTAGACTTTCCTGTTTCAAAAATGAGTTTGGATCAACAGTTAAATACAAGCAATGGGATCTTTTACGGGGAAGTCTACGCTACCATCGATTCAAAACGTCAAATATAGAATCTGTGAAGCTATCGAGGACAGGACAATTTTTTGCCGTTAATAATGGAAAACACCAGATAACGCCTGATTTTTTTCATAATAAAGGGCATACCACCTCTTTATTTTGTAATAAGAATTTGATCGTTTATCCAATAAGTACATTTTCTTTGAATAACAAAATATACAATTTTATTGGAAAAACTTTTGTTTACATTGTTTTAAAGTGCGAAATCGCTCCTAGCTTTTATTAAATCAGTCTCCGATCTGTAAAAATCGTACAAACCCAAGTAAAGGCAAAGAACGCATCTTGTACACGATACACATTAAATATGAAAAAAAATATTTGAAGCGAGCTTTAATCCTGATCGTCAGCAGTCAAAAGTGGATTGTGGTGAATTGAAAATGTCAACAAAAACATGTCAAATAAATAACTGATTAGATTTTAAGATTACAAATTTCAATATCAGTTCCTAAAAATATTAAAACTCCTCCCCGGCACCTGCTTTTGTTGCAATGATTACTTTTACATGTTGAATGCTATGTGGTTGTTAGGATAACCTTTCGTTGGAGTTTAAAAAACTCTTCACCGCGAGAGTGACCATTAGTATAAGACAAATTATATGTCACCTAAACGAAATTTATTCCATGTGTCCACTTTACCAATACCAACAGTATTGCTGTTGGCACAAAATCTTCCGAAAACTATTGCATATTACCTGGGACGAAATACCGCCACTACTAACTCCCAGGCCACATTCCAATTGTGATGCCTGTGTTTGTGAGGCCAATGTTAGGTCACGATAATCAAAATCTGAGGCCTGGGTGCCACCGCCAATCAAATCATTCTCTTCAGTGTCCAAAAATGTTAATGTTTGTGAACTCGGTCCGTAAGCGTCCACCGACATCTTGAATTCGCAGCTTGTTGTAGTTGTCCTCTATTCGATTGAATACAAAAACAAAAGAGTCATACAATAATTACTCGTGGAATATAGCAAATATTTTCATATTCTATTAAAATACAAAGCGATTGAATTGTTGTCTCCGGCCGTGCAAAGTAATGCGGTCGAAATGATGTTGTTGTTCTTCCGTAATTCTTCTTGTTATCGCCTCAACACGCTTTTGGAGGATTTTCTTTTTGTTCCACGACGACGACAATGAAGACTGCCACAACGTTGACTTCTTTGATTCTGCTTTGGGTAGAAATTTTCGACTTATTCACTTTACCTCTTAATGTTGTTGTGGCTGGGCAATTGCTTTTCTCGTTACAAAGTTTCTGTGATACGCAAATAATTGGGAAAAACGTTAAATTAGTTGTGAGATTTGCGTTATTTTCGCATTATTCGATGTGATTTTTTTAATGCGCGAATATAAGTTAGGGATATGTAGGTCGACTTTGAACTAATTGACTTTTACTTTCGGTATTTGGTAACTAAAAAAACGAGTGATTTTGAAAGAAATATGATTACCCGAAGTAATCATAGGTCCATCGTTGATTATTGTGAATGGAGAATTGTTAGTATGTGTGTGTTCGGGTAGAAAAACAAAAACTGTTAGAATTTTAAAAATGTTAAATAGAAAATAATAAAAAAAAAAAACGATTAACCAATAATTTTCAAAAATGTTGCAATTATTATTAGGTATTTTCACGTACTGTAAAAATTTCCTATTTTTCACAACTGTTGTCGTTATCACAAAGGGAAAATTTGTTATCGTAGTAAAAACTAGGAGATTTTTGCAGTACGGGAACAGACTAATTGCTCACATGTTGAATAATAATACATTTTAACATAATTTTTTATTTCAACATGAAAAATATGTGTTTAAATTTTTTTTTTTTGAAATTTTTTGCTAATTTTACAATTGTACCAATCAATGTCTGGTTCCATATTCTTATTTCGTATATTAATTGAGGTTATAATAAATGTGTACAAACCTTAGTACATGGCATAATTATACAAGGTAGTCTCATACAGCCATATGCAGCCATTGACAGTATTCAGTTTTCAAAATTTAAATGAAAATATCATCCTACGAAATATACGCCTTTTATGTGTTCAGTGGCAAACATTTATAAATAATTTATATTCATAAATATTTTGAAGTTCCCTGCCTCTAATACTTATAAATATAAGTTCTAACAACTATATTTAAATATTGAGATCAATGTTCAGCTTTAAAAGATATATTTTGTATAATTTATTGAAAATATGCCAATCGACATACATACCATTTTATGGAATTTATTTTTCATATTATTTCAAATTGATATATGAGTTCCAAATTAAAAAGGGTTGTCATCATAAAATTCAAATGAGACTACCTACTGTAATTATTCCATGCTTTAGTATTACTGTGTAAATGTTATACATTATAACAAAATATACAGAACAATTTCTTTGAGTGTATTCATGTATAAAATTGACCATAGTGACAAACAAAACATTTGCATATATTGTCGTTGAAAAAAATGGTATTTTTTTAAATGTAAACAACAATGCCCAGCTCTGCTACTCTTTGACAGAGACAGTATTTAATAATTGTTAATCTCACATTACAGTTGTTAATATAAAATATTATTTATGTATATTATTGTTATTTTGCTTGAGGTTTATTGTGTGTGTGTGATGCTTTGCTGGTTATGCTGGTGATGCTTTTTTGGTTACTGATTTTGTGAGAAAATTACACGAAACAAACAAATGATTTGTATTTGAATTGAGCTACCGTCTCCAATTAGAATTTAGTTAGCAGTTGTTATTGTTATTATTGTTGCTGCTACTGTGTGGGGTTTGCAGTTGACGTCGCCGTCGTATACCTCACTAACTAATATTTCATTGTTGTGTTAACCAACAACAAAACCAAATACCATTTTTTATGGGAGAGTCAGTGGCAGAGTCTCGCGAGTAGAGTCGCACTGTCTCCCCGTGTATGTGTATTTTGTTTTTGTAGGGGAGCACAAAATTCACGGATTTATTGGGCGATTGTTTTGAGTTTAGTTGTCGTCGGAGTTTCAAAGCGTACGGTTGGTTAAACAAAGACAAAGAAAACGCGACAAACGGTGATGTGTTTTACATTTCGTTAAGAATTTTAATTTATTTTTTCGGCATTTCATTTTAAAATATCAAAAACAACACTCATTTTGGTAAAAAAAATAATAATAATAAATACCGAAGTAAATAATCGTAACAATAACCGGAGTATGAAATATTCGTAAAACGACAATAATACCAACAACGACCACGACAATTAATTGAAAACAAAAGTGTTTCATGATTGTTTTTGTTAATGCAATTCAATTCAAGACGATACCTTTTGGCTTCTTTTGAATCAAAAAGCAAACACAACTAAAGAGAGTGTCAAGTGAAGCCGCAATGGAAGAAATATGTTAAAACAACAAGTGGCGTTACATGAATAAGTGGGTGGTGTACGAATCGATGAGTGAGTGGTGAGTGAGCGTGGCTACTCAACATCTACAAAATTTGTTTTTTGTTGTTGGAAAAATTTCGCAATTTTAACGCGCCAGTTTTTTGCTTTACTATTTTTTTTAAATATTGTAGGTGAATAAAATGAAACTAAGGAGTGCGTGCAAAATTAACTGTCGTAGTGCGTTTGTTCGGTAATTAACCTGTCCAAATTTTTATGTCAACATTTCGAAAAAAAAAACAAACGAAACGAAACAAATTTTAATTTACAAATTCCATTAGAATTTATTGCCAATACTTTTTGTGTTGGCACTTAAAATTTGTTGTTAAATTACTGCCAAATAAAAGGAAAACAAAAAAAGAAAAAACCTGTGCAATTAACATCCAAATGAAGGTTATCGTCTTTTTTTTTTGATTGGCGACTGAGTAAAGTTCTTTAAGATTCAATGGCTTGTAATTGCCAATTTTAAAATCAAAGAAAAAAAAAAATACCACCAACAACAACATTGTAATTATTCTAATTCTGGTGTATGTGTGTGTGCGCGTTTGTGTGTATGTTTGAAAGCTGGCGCTGTTGCAGCTGCTACTGACACCGATGTCGTCGGTTTTTGCGCCGGCGCCAATTACTTATGCCTCATTCATGTTTCAATTCAACAAATCTATTACAAGGTAACTGACAAACAGCTACCACTGCTGAACTGCCTATCCATTATTATAAGTTGGCTAACAATTTAAACATTATTATTATTAGTATTATTATTTATATCCATACTAAATTGTGTACTTACGGTCTTACCGTACTACAGATCATACCACTTAAAAAGAGCAGATATCTTCAAATTATTACCTGTCTTAACGTGCATGTAAGTGAAAACATGCATAAAAGTGGGACATTGTAAATTTTCTGGAATACGCGATCTTAACCTTTTGTGTGGTTTCCGACGATGTGTAAAAAATAAATACTGATACTCCTTGTGCAGCTAAATGCAAAACTTTTAAATAGTGTTATAACAGGTGCAAATATTTTGAGCTGTTATCGTAAATGAAAGTCATCATCACAATAAACTCAGTCATCACAATAAATAACCATGAGAGATCTAGCTTGTATTGCAAATGTGTGCGATCTGCTTGCACTCTATCAAAGGGTTCCCACTCTTCTCAGTGAAATGGCGGAACACCCGAATGAGGTGGAAGAGAAACATCGTGTCCTTCGGTCGCCATTTTCCTTTACATCAGCTTTAACATTGCTGAAAGTTCCGCGTTGGGTTGGAATGCCGTAGTCCAATGTTTTTTGAAGCGTCCTTTGAAGTGTATCATCAGGGGCATGCGACTTCGTACCCTCAATGATGCTTCAACATTTGCCACGATGCATTTTCCAGTTAGCGCTTGCAATTTGACTAGGTCCTTTGCCCAGGTTTCTGTTAACATCTCGACGTCATTACAGAGGTTTCTGTAAAAAATACATACATACATAAAAAACATTATATTGAAGGAAAAGAAGTAGCTTCCATAGCATAAGCTAAATTGGGACATAAAAAAATCAGTTTCATTTTCTAATCGAAAGGTTCGCAATACATTCATAATCTTTCCAATATAGGTGTATGTTTTGACATAGTCCCACATAAATGATCTATCTCATTTAAGGTATTGTTAATGTAGGTCCATGTTTTGGACTTTTTGGTTGATTGAAGATTCTTTGTCATATAGATATAGATAGACAAAATTACTAAACAACTTCTCGAATCGATGTCCATAAGACTGCCGAAAATTTGATAACTTTATGTTGTTAAGTTTATTTTATTTATCACCGTAGCTAACAGATAGTTTCAAATATTTATAATGCAAATTAAATCACATGCCACTCAATCCATTTGGCAAAAAGGGAAAGTTATTCTTGAAGTTTGCAAAATTTTCGAATAAAGGAATACATTTAAAAATAAATTGATTTAAATTTTGTGTTTGGATTACAATACCAGTAATAAATTCCTTATTATCTTAGGATTTCATTGATATATTTCATATTTTTTTTAATAATTTCGATTAAATTCGTAAATAAATTATTTCGAAGAACAAATTTCAACACACATATTTTGATTACAATCATCTCTAGATAATTTTAAATGTTAAGTGTATTTATACCTAAACTGCGGTAGTCATAAAGTCTAGATTCGTCGTTGATCTGAAAAGAAAAAACAACAACAAATAAATACAGATCCAATTCCAAAAGTGTTAAGACCTCACGAGTGATGTCATACATCGTCACAATTCAAACCATAATGATGAGGTATGTTCGCCCCAGCATACAACAAGCATCAATGATAAAGAAAAAAAAAACAACAACCGGCAATACCATTTGTGTTAAAATGTGCGTCTTCACATCGAGTCGATTTCGATGTGAATGGACGAATGCAAAAATAAGTTTTTTCTTTATTATTTAGTTTCGTACCTTATGTCTGTGCGGTAGAATTTTAGTGGAACTATTTCAATATAAGTTAGAGGGATTTCGCGTATTTATT